ACAGAAAGAGAAGGTGCAACCATGGTCCAAGAAGCAGCATCAGAGATTTCCACTTCTCCAGTGACAAAAAAATACATGGATAGCATATTTTATAAATCCAGAACTTCTGATATTTTACACAGCACATGGTCTGTATTACAATAAAAACCATTGCTTCCTACTGATGTGCTGTGAAAAATACTTCTAATATCAAACTAGAATGAGTATAAGGGAGAGCGTGCAGTGTTCATAAAGATCATAAAGAGCTATAGTAAGAAGTAATTTGGTTTATAATAACTTTATTTAGTTTTAAAGTAAACTTATTAATACCTCATTCTATTTTAAAACAGCTATATGTCAGGTTTCCAGCCTGTGGAATATGTGCACGTACACTTGCCTGCAAACACGCAAAACCCACAAAATATGTATACACTAGATAATAGTGTATATATAATTAGTGTATGTATATATATATAAAATTATGCTTGCAATTTACCTATTAGCAATAAAAGTCACTCCACTGGAAACAATAACATGGTAAACACCTTCCTTAAAACAAAATCCGTGAAAAAAACTTGACTGGAATGTTGCTGCTTGAAAATGACTAATAACTGTTCAAACAAGTTCATTTTGGGAGTGCTTGAATAAAACTTTGTTTTGGGTACATTTTAATTATGATAGATAACAAGATGGATGTTGGCTTGTGTTTAACTTTAAGAATCTTTAAAAAAATACTATATAATTATAAAAATACATAATTATATAAGTAATAATAATAATTATTATTTTAGAAAAATTTTGTATAGTTCATATTAAAAAATGCTCATAAAATTACAGCCCTCAAAATAATTTAAATCCAAAATGCTAATTTTTATGGCCATCATTTTATGGCCTATTTTAAGGATATTATTGTTATCTTTTTCTGTATGTTTTTCCTACTGTATCTACAAATTATCTTTTATACAGAAAATTCCCTCACCCTATTCCCTACTGAGCATTGCATATTCTTGAGAAACCAAACGATGTACCGTTGACAGTGAGCAGCTCATAAATTTTCAGGAGGCACTTACATGGAGGGGGGGTAGCCTGTGCATTAGAGCAAATTAGGGAGAGGATTCTGCAAGACTAGCTTTGCAGAAGTACTTGGAAGAAACATCAGCGAACCAGGTCAGACCTAATTCAAGAAGCTTTCCCACGCCTAAAATAAATCCAGATTATAAAGCCTTGACCCACTGAGGGTGAGGTGAGACTTTATAGCATTTTGGTAGCCCTTTCCTGAGGGCATCTTTCCTGTTTTTCATGCCTGGTGCCATGCCCCACGGGACGCCCTGACTGGGAGGCCATGAACATCACACAGCACCCATTTCATCCTGCAGCTGGAGGCTGCATCATCCTGGAGCTGTGAGGTGCTAAGGCCATGAAGAGCCATTCTTCACAGCTCTGGCTCTTCTCTCCACCTTCTACTCTGGTCCTTTATCTAAATCCTGCACCTCACCAGTGTTACACCACTCTTCTGAAATATATAGTTCAAAATAATTATGTTCCCTTGCTATAAATTTCCTCCGTTTCTTCAAGAAACTAAGGTTATTCCCCGAGGAATTAAGGACCATTATACCTGTAAACACAGTACAATAAATCTGTTTAAATAATTGGACAAAGACATGGTATGCAGCTGTTAAAAAGTAGCTAATTTATTTTGTTATTAAATAACCATATTAAATAACCATGTAAATATAGAAGTTCTCCAAACCTGCCAGGGTAAATAAAACCTTCTCTAGAATGAAAATCTGATGAGTAAGAGCTGGTCATGTAAGTGGAAACTGCCTTAGGGAAATATAACATGTATGTTCAACTCTCTTAACTCTTCTAACTTGAAAAGGCTGAAAAAAGTGCAATCCCCCTCATGAACAAGACTGACAAACTGGTAGCAATGGACAAAGTACTCAAGGTACTTTTTACCTTAGCCTTCAGTGGCAACCTCTCTTCTCACACCTCTCGAGTGATTGGACTGCAAACTGGGGACTCAGGGAGCAAACTTTCTCCCTCCCACTTTAAGAGAAGATCATTTGTGGCCACCTGAGGAGCCTGAACATGCATCTATGGCACCTGATGAGTTGCATCCCAGAGAGATCAGCTGAGGGAATCAACTGATCTAGTTGTCAAGCCACTCTCCATGAAATGTCATGGCAATCAGGAGAAGACCCTGGTGATTGGAAAGGGGACAATATTGCTCCCATTTTTAGAAGGGGTAGAAAAGAGGACCCTGGGAACTACTGACCACCTGTGTGCCTGGGAAGGCCATGGAACAGATCCTTCTAGAAGCTGTGCTAAGGCACGTGGAGGGCAGGGAGGTGATTCAGGACAGCCAACAAAACTTCCCCAGGGGAAAGTCCTTTCTGACCAAGCAAGTGGTCTTCAATGATGGAGTGACTGCATCAGTGGACAAGGGAACAGTTTCAGGTGTCATCTGTCTGGACTTGTTTAAGGCTTTTGACATGTTCCTTTGCAACATCCTTCTCTCTAAACTGGTGAGAGATGGATTTGATGGTTGGAGTCTTCAGTGGGTAAGGAATTGATTGGACAGTTGCATCGGCTCAGTGTCCACATAGACATCAGTGGTGGTCTGCACTGGCACCAGTACCATTTAATATCTTCAACAATGACATAGACAGAAGGATCGAGTGCACCCTCATCAGAATTGCAGATGTTCCCAAGCTAAGTGCTCTGGCTGACACACCTGAGGGCTGGGATATCAACCAGAGGGACCAGAAGAAGTATGAGAAGTGGCACATGGGAATCTCACGAGGCTCAACAAGACCAAGTACAAGGTGCTGTGCCTGGATCAGGGCAACCCCCAGTATCCACACAGGCTGGGGGATGAACAGATGGAGAGCAGCCCTGCCAAGCAGGGCATGGGGATGCTGGTGGCTGAGAGACTGGACATGAGCCAATAAAGTCTGACTGCAGGTTGGAAGGCCAACTTCATCCTGGGCTGCATTAACAGCCCAGCTCGAGCAGCAGGTCGAGGGAGGTGTTCTTGCCCTTCTGCTCTGCTCTGCAGAGACCCCACCTGGAGTGCTGCATCCAGCTCTGGGGCCCTCAGGAAGGACATGGACCTGTTAGAGTGAGTCCTCAGGAGGGTCACAAAGATGACAGGGGTCTGGATTTTCTCTCTTATGAAGACAAGGCTGAGAGAGCTGGGCTTGTCCTTAAGAAGACTCTGGGGAGACCTTACTGTGACCTTTCAGTACTTAAAGGGGCCTATAAGAAAGATGGGGATAAACTTTTTAGAATAACTTATTGAGATATGGAAGTGGGTAATGGTTTTAAATGAAAATAAGATAGATCAGACAAGATATAAGGAATACGCTTTTTGTAGTCAGGATGGTGAAACACTGGGCAAAGTTTCCCAGAGATGTGATGAATGTTTCATCTCTGGGAGCATTCAAGGTCAGGCAGGACAAGGCTCTGAGCAACTTGAAGTATTTGAAGATATCCCAGTTCATAGCAGTGGGGTTGGGCTAAATGACCTTGTGAGGTCCCTTCCAACTCAAACTGTGCACTGGTTCCATGTTTTTGTGATTCTAACACCAGTGAAAGGATGTTAGATGAGAAAAGTGTGAAATATGCTCATTTAAACCAAGCATCGGCTTTTTTCAAAGATATTGTCTGACCTTTGAGTAATCAAAAGTTCTACTGTTTTCCTGAAATGCTCTTAATATTCCAGAAGTAAAAATGGTAATTTTATTAATAAAATGCCTAATAATTATTTTTTGTTAATTGCATTTTAATAAATAAATAATATATACAGATCAAAAGAAACTTGAAACATGCAGAGTTCCATTGCTCAAGAGAACTCTTAAGCTGATTACTGTAAATTGATTTGAGGTGGATTCTAGAAAGATAACTGGCTTTAAATTCTAAATTCTTAAAAAGCTTTATTACATACAAAAGGAACATTAAAAATGGAGCATTTAAAAGTAAGGAAGTGCTTTGCTTTATTGGTTGTTGCTGTGGCATACTTAATTTTATCTTTGCATGCTAGCATCCTGCATGCTAATTGAGGTAAAAGTCCTATGGAAAAGATTATATGGAATAATATGGATGTAGTTGCTGACTATATCATGTCATATGCACACAGTACAGTATCATTGAGGATATGACATTTTAAAATGATTTGTTGAGAGGCATGCTCTGAAACTAAATAGTATTTGTTTAATTGTACTTAGTATTAAGCCATGTTAATACTATTTTAATAATGATGCATTATGCATATGATGGCTTCTGATTTTGAAAAGGAAACAACAAAATTTTGTCTGGTTGTCTGCAACGTTTCTTTATAGTTTTTTATGGTAGGGAAAATCTCTGAGGAATGGTTGCATGGTGACCCAGCCATGGTTTGCCTTGTCTGTGGCTATTCCTGCTTGTGGGGTGGTGAGGAGAGGGCTGCTGCCAGTAAACAGATATCAGGTACTTCAGTGCCTGATGATTAGTTCTGAAGCAGCCTTCATTTGATATAAATAAACAAAATAAATAATCTTTTCCCAAAGTTTATCAGCTTGTAAAATCTGAAATTTTCTCAGGAAAACATGAAACTCTGTTATAGCTGGGAAGTGTTTTGCTGAGTAGTGGCACTGTGATAAAAACAATGGAGGAATTTCCATTTTAGATTTAAGACTAATTATAACTAGCTTGAAAATGATTTGGAAGACTGCTTTTTAGAGTTCTCTTTCCCATTTCCATATTTATTTATTTTTTGACAATTTACCTAACCTACTTGAAAAGCCCAGAAATTATTAAAATACTTGCAGCTAGGAGAAACCCAGTAGCTGAGACAAAATTTAGCATGATATAAAGGTGAAGGAAAAAGAGAATATCCTTTTACTGCTTGTCTCAGTAGAATAAGTTAAATTTTTTAATGTTTGAAAAATTTCAAATTTATCAAATTAGCCTGAAGAGAACATGTAATGATGCCTGCTATGTTTTCTCAGTTGGTTCCTAATCCTGAATTTCACTTGCAGGCTTTGGAAAGCGAGTTTGTATCATGTCAGCTTCATCAGTGGATTGACCTTATATTTGGCTACAAGCAACGAGGACCAGAAGCTGTGCGTGCACTCAACGTTTTCCACTACCTAACATATGAAGGCTCTGTGAACCTGGACAGTATCACTGATCCTGTCCTCAGGGAGGTAGGTGTTTACTGTCATTTCATGCTAAAAACTGCTGTCATCTCGCAAGAAATGGTACTTTTCCCGTCTTTCACTGCTGGAAAAAATGGATGTGTTTGACTTGATTCAGAATTTAGGCCCCAGGTGATTTCAAAAGCAAGTATGAATGAACTATCAATAAAACAAATAGACCTAATAGATTTAATATTCAGTTATGGTGTAGGAAATTATAACGGAATGTATAATCTTTAATATAGAGTATGCTATGTTTTATAATTTACTTGTATTAAGTTCAATTGAAACCAAAAAATTGGAAAAGAATCCTGGATCATAGTCATAAAGGAAAAAAATCTAACATTTACAGTCAGATGATGTTAGTGAGACTGTGGCTGAAAAAGATATATTTTCTAGAATGACTGTAGCAAATATATAAACTACTTTTGATCACATAAAGTATAGTCAAACTGTTACCAAAATAGAAAATGTTTTCTATTTGTTGTGCATTTAAGTAATTATGTTTATATATATGTGTGGATTATATATATATATATATATATATATGTATGTATGTATGTATATATATATACACACACAAGTGAGTGTTTTAAGTTAATCAGTAATTTTTAAAAAAAAAAGTGTTCTAGATATCTTGGTATGTTTCCTTCCAGTGACTGTATTTGTTTTCACTAAAACTAATAATTTTAATGATGGTTTTCTAGTACCTATTAATTTGCATGATGATTTTCTAGTACCATTCATTTGTTGGCTAAAACAATTGAAATTTGATGAAAAGTGTGAGGAAGCAACAGCTGCTAGATGAGTACTGCTGTGATGAAGCTCTACACACAATCTTCCATTCCCCCAGATAGCTGCCATCTGCTGTATGCAAAACAGTAATAATGTACATTGCCAGCCAATGGGGTTTTGTTTGTTTGTTTGTTTCCAATCTTGGACACAGAAATTTGCAGATTTCAGAAAGAAGTAGATTCTAGAAAGCATTCATTCAGCTAACTACTGAGTTTTGTCATTTTTGTTTTGTTTTTTTTTTTAGCAGTGCATTGATGTATTCTGTTACATTTTGTGATTTTTGGGAGCAGAACTAAAAAACCATTCAGACCCCAGGCTTCCTAGAACTGGTTTTCACTACATACACTGCAAAGCTTATATTTTCTAAACAATTAATATTTCCTTAGTTATAAGATTGGCTAGAATTGCTTTGACTCTTCCTGCCTCAAATATTTAATATTGACATCTACATAATAATTTTCTGGATTTAAAATTTTGAGCATGAGAGGAGTCATGCTCTTCTAGAGATAAGAAGAAACAATGCTTTTTAAAGTATAGAACAGGTGTCAAGCACCATGAATACAAGGGATTTGCATGGCTTAGGGTCCGGATCTGCATGGGCAGACTTCTATGTCTTGACTTTTAGGGTCTACTCCCACAGGGCAGCTTGTAGGATTGAGGTCTATCTGTCTGTCTGTCTGTCTGTGCACCTTATCTAACATTTTATGACATGATGAGACTCTTCAGCTCTCCTGGGGCTCTACTTGCATGCATAACTTGTCATCAGAAATTTAAGAAAATTCATGGAGACGTTTTTGTTCACTCACTTGTAAATCTAACCCACTCCCTTTAAATAAACCTCTTCTTAGGCAATTTTCACCATGTAAATCTAGAAGCTCAAATTAATCTTCATTGCAACAAGTAAGATTTGTACATAAAATTCATTGTTAGCAATGAGAAGGCAAAATGACCAGAAAAAAAAAAAATCAATCATCCTTATTTTTGTTACATATGGATAATAAAATTGTATGCATCCGTTTGAAAAACATATGTTTTTTCCTCCAAGAGATCTCAGGAGTCTTGATTTTTGGTTTGATTTTTGGTCATAAGAAAGTTTAAAAATACTTTTAATTAATTTTTAATCTGAATTTATAGTACATGTTTAAATATAGACTTAGACCTGCTTTCTGTTTTCCTGGGCTCTGTTTATGAAACTAGCAGACATTCTCTGACCAACAATAAAGCATTTGACATCTTGATGATATAGAGGATCATGTATTTGATGATATTTTCTGTTATGAATATATATGAAGGGGTTTTTGCTTTTTTGTTGTTTGATTTGTGCTTGTTTGAGTTTGTTTGACTTTATTCTGGCTTTTGGTAAATATTCCAGAAAATAAATTTAAAGCAAAAAGATATTTAAAAGCCTCTGAAGACCCCTTGTAAATACAGAAATTAAGGATAGAAGCACTAATATCTTTAAAATAGTGAAAAGAGTTGTTTGTTGTATTTTGCAGTGGCAAGTGGTGGTATGTGGCATTTTATTTTAGAAACATTCCAATTTAGAATTAATTGCACCCTGCAGTTATCTGGGAAAACGCATCTCTCAATATTAAAATGCTCTTGCTATTTATTTTGTAAATAAACGAAAATATTGCATTCCTGTGTCAGAGAAGATGGTGAATGTTCTCAGTAGATGGCTGTAAAATAAGCCAATCAATAATACAACCTTATTGACAGCAGCCATTATCAGACCAGTGGGCTCAAGTATGGCAGTAACAGCGGCCATAACTAATTTCATATTGAACTGAGTCCCAGCTGAATCTCTCCAGTGAAATAAGTCTCCAAATAAAAAATACCCTCCCATTCTGAGCTGATTGAAAGACATGATTTTAAAAGGTGGAGCCCTGTGACCTGTTTATGCTATATCTTGGCCCTTCCACATTCACCCTTTGCTTGAGCACCTCACTTAACCACTAAAAAATGTGATCTTAGCTTTCTGTGAAGAACATTAAAGTTACTTCTGTAGTCATCTAGCTACAAAAAATATTCAGCAGTGGAACAACTGATCCCTGCCATTCCTTACATCTCTTATATGCTTTGGGAGCTGTCTAAGAAATCTCTACTGTTTAACAGTGGAGAAATGGCCATCCTGTGTAATTGTTCTTTGCAGATCTATTTAATTGCAGAGTTTCCATCTGACTTCCTTTCTTCATTTTCCATAAAGAAAATTCCTAATGATAGAAACCATAATACGGGGATAGCATTAAGTTTTACATTACTTCAGTTTATGAAATCACATACAGCTGCCTCTGTAATACCTCTTTGGCAACTTAAAATCTGCACTGGATGGGTTAAATAAACTGGTTTCATTTCAACATACTGAATTTGATTTTTGCAAACAACTTCGGAATTGCTGATACCACAAAAAATGATTGGTCATGATGACTTACCTCAAGTTCTTTCGAAGGCAACAGGAAAGTCCTGATTTACATGCCCCATGGAATAAAAGTATAAAATTGAATTTCATGGTTTCAGTCTTTTATGATTAGAAATTGGTAAATTCTCCAGTTCTATCAGGTGTAATGCTGTCTTAGTCACATATTGCAAAATGATTCTCATATTGTAATGAGGAGGAAAAAAATATGTAAAAATATGTAACAAAATAAAATAAACATTTTCCAGGTCCTAATCCTTTTTTTTTTTTTTTTTTTGCTTCAACCTTTTTTAAAGTAAAAGTAAAAGCAGTGAGGTGGAGAGGTGGAAGCTGAAACTTGAACAGCTTAAGGATATTGATTCATTCTCACTTGACAGGTGGAATAATGGTTGCAGCACTAACCACAGCAATTACAGCATTAAAATGTCAAGAAATTAGAGGTCAGAATAACAGATAATTTTCTTCCTTTTGTCAGATTAAAAATTGACATTCTTTGACAGCACAGGATTTCTGGCTGAGAAAATTATGACAGTTTAACTCATCTTGTACTTGTAAGGCAGTAATTGATAATGAACTTTACCATGACAGTCTTCTCCTGTGGAGAAACATGACAGAACATCCCTGGTACAAAGCCTGTATCTCTTTTTAATATGTAAACAGTAGTTATATTGGACATTAGATGTTATTTGGAATTGTCTTTACTGTTAGTTTACATCATAATCCAAATCCTTTTCCACTAGATAGACTTGGCTGACTTCAGGGAATTGTTGCTGAGAATGCTAATACAGAAAGAGCAATATAGGAAATATGGTTTATTTATAGTGCTTTGGTGTCACAGGTCCACTTCTTTGTTAAAATACAGTTCCTCCCCTGGTTTCTTCCAGAATATCTGTAAATTTTAGGAGCCCCTTTCTTCCCCAGACACCTGGAAATGGGGGCACTCAAAAACCCATTTAGTTGTGCTTTTTTGAGTTAGGAACCTGTATAACACAGAGTGCTGTGGCTGAAAGGAAACAAAACAGCCATACTGGCCACTAGAAAATGCAATAGATGAGACAAAATTATTTTTACTTATTACTGTCTTAATTTAATGCCCTGTAGATGAAACACAAAATAATTAAGTGGACATTTTAGTGCATAAAAGGCTAATCACATGTAGTACTGAAAGCACATCTACTTGCAGAAAAATACTATTTGGAGGCTTTTGATTTTTGATTTTGTTTGGCTTTGTGTTTTTTTTAAATCATAGCCAGATCTCTGCTTATTTATTTTTTTTACACTTTCACCTAGTTTGTGATTAGAAATCTTTTGAAAAAGAACATTTCATCTTTCAGTTTGCTTTGGACTTGAAGCTAACTTTGTATCAGCCGTGTGTTGAGCTGCAAATCCAGTTTAGCCATTCAGTACAATGACTTCCCTGTGACTGTTGCATCTTCACCATTTGCTTGCATCTCCCCAGTCCATCAGGAATTATTGCAAGAGCGTAGTAAAGCAAGTCAGTGTGAACCTAGTAGGCTCAGATATTTCTCCTGAGCACCTGTCAAGATACCTGAGCATCCTTGCAACTCACACAGCAAATTGAAAAATTATTAAAATTGCTAGTGTTTGACAGGCAGTTGCTGTGCCCATAAACTAATCCTGGTAGGACAGTTTTTCTGGCAGCTAACAGAGCATATGGCCTATGCAATATTTATTTCTTTGCTGATGACTTGATATTTAGCATATTTAAATAATTTGAAAAGTCATAATGATGTGGTGTTCTTGCAGTGCTTTTCAGCTACCCTCATTTCTGGGTTAT